GATTTCTAGTTCCCTGAGTTTGTATCCCTTTTTCCTTTCTCTGTCCTTAATTTCTAATTCTCTGATATTTTCCCCAATTCTAATTGGTTTTTCACAGCTTGCTCCTCTAATTGATTTTTCATAACTAGTTCCTTCAGTTTAAATTCTTGTCCTAGCTTCCATTTTTCAAAATCTTGTGAGCTTTGGATATTTTCTCCCTTTGAGGCAATTATTACTGAGCCCTCAGTTTCTTCTTCACTTTGAATTTGAGGGTTCCCATTTCCCTCAGTACCCTGGCGCTCAACTTGTGTCTCCATAACCAACTTTTTACTTTGTTTAGGGAGGCATAAATAATATACATAATTTCTTCTTAAACTGGACTGTTCTTTTACCTCTACAGAGCCAAAAAGGATCTTTTCCCCAGTGGCTTTCCTTATTACTAGGTTGTGCTTTTCCAACCAGCTCGCCTCGGCTACTCCCAAGCTCACAACCCTTGCCACAATATTTCCCTGCCTGGGCAATTCCTGTCTCCAGACACAAGAACAACTTTCTTCTTAGCTTTTCTTTACTTTTAAGGGATGTGATAGTGCTGGGGGTTAAACCACAGAAGCCTCTGTGCTGCAAGGTCAGAAGACCAGCAGTCGTAAGATTGAATCCATGCGACGGAGTGAGCTCCCATCACTTGTCCCAGCTCCTGCCAACCTAGCATGCACCCCCACCCCCATCTCTCTTCACTTTCTGGCCTTTACATAGCATAGATGATTTTGACATTGGTTTCCTGTGACAGTCTTTGCTAATTCCAACCTCTTCCCTCTTTTCATTTCAAAAGGGAGAGGACCATCTTTTGGAAAACATGCAGGCAACATGTTAAAGAGGTTTTTAGATGAATACAGGTTTCCTTCCTCAAGTTGCCTACCCCAAGGAAAGGGTTTGGAAGTTGGAACGTAGCTTTCTAGTCTGCGTTATACAAAGTGTGTGTGTGTGTGTGTGTGTGTGTGTGTGTGTGTGTGTGTGTGTGCGCGCGCGCGCGCGCATGTGCGTGCGCGCGCGTGTGTGTGACAATATGAAATTCAAGGGTGTGTATGTTTCTCCATTATATGTGTTGCACTCCCTCACAGCTTTTGTTCACCATTTCATTAAGTCCCAATATTCCCTTCAAAATACTTTGACAGAGAGGGACTGCAGCTATATCCCAGCTGTTCCTGGAGCTGTCCTCCCCCAGCAACCAAAGTAGAGATAATGTAATCATCTTCTGTGATCTGCTAGCCCTAGGTAAATCTACATGAGGGAAGTTGCTGTTGGAATGTGTATGTAGTGTATGTATATTTATGCTTCCATTTAAAAAAATCAGGAAATTAAATTCTTCAAAAGAACCCCCCACAAAACACATCTGTTTTATTAATATGGGATATTGTGCTTCTATATCCATTCAAAATGCAAGGAAACAGCCTGATATTGCTGCGTAATATTGTGCCCAGATTGCCAGTAGGAAAAAAGTTTGTCAAACTTTGCATAGCAAAAGGTAGCAAAGGAATGTTGATGGCACCAATGTCAGCAGTCAAGATGGTCTATACCCTTTATGCTCACTACCATTCAGAAAGAGACACCAAGCAAGAGAGAATCCCACAACCTGACTTTGTTTTTCATTAGTTAACCGCTTCTCACTCAAACACAAAACAATTGCCAGGGCTGTTTTTCAACATACAGAGAAAAATGTGTTTTTCCTGCTATTACAACATCCACCCCTCCAAACAGTTTCTTCAATCACAATCAGTCTTGTAAATGAAGCCAGTGGTTACCATACTGATGACCAATCACATACAGAAACAAGCAAATCTGCAAAATGCTGAGTGAGGGTTTGGACAATTGGACATCTTTTGTCACTTCAGAAAGCCCCATCTCTAATTCCAAACTAACTGTGTTGGATGGTTTAGGTCTTAGTTTCTGCTGGGAGTAGGTAATTCTGTCATCTGCAGTGAGTGCATTTGGATCATGCCATCAGTTCTGAGCTAGATACAGAGAGGAATTGCCTGCCTCTAGATCAGCAGGTACTGATGTTCAGCCTTTTCAGATTCTGATGAAAGAAGATGAGCCTGAGAGCAAATAGGGCAGAATAATGTGGACTGGGAAAATGAGAGAATCAAGGCAGATACATTCCTAAGATGAAAGGGCACACAGAGGCTGCTTTACAAGTGATGCTTTTAATAGCTGTGGTACTTCCCTTTCCAAAATGTCTGTAATTTGAGAGGAAAATTTGCACTGGATTAAAGACAAACCTAAAATGTGAAAATTGTTTTCTTCTGTTTTCTCTTTAGTACTGATGCTTCTGAGCCCAATATCACAGACAGAGTTCTTAGCTCCCCTTGCAAAACTATGCAGTGTTACATGAAACGATGAAGCACATGTGTAAGAGAAAATAACCTGAAATAAAGAATCCCCTACTCCTTAAGTAAGGCAGCCCCAAAAATCTAAGGCTTTTTAAAAAAATTGTTCCATTGTGAATTGGCATTCACACACTAACTCTGCTGTCTGTAGCCTGATCTCCAGCTGCAACTGATCCTCTACACCAGTGGCAGTTAAACCAGATCTCCAGATGTTACAACTGAGCTACAACTTTCATAGTCCCCTTAATCCTTAGCTGTGCTGGTGGAGTCTTCTGGTAATTGAAGTCCAAAACATCTGAAGGTATAAAATTTCCCCACTCCTCCATTATTCAGCAGTGGAGGCTGTGCAGAACATCATGGGGATGAGGTTGTGTAGGCCCTGGCTAGAAACAATGGGAAAACTGTATAGCCTGATTTGACTTTGGTCACCGCAAAGGTGTACCTATAGTTATATGGAATGACTTTTCAGCTCCCACACATTACAAAGGTAATTTGTATACCAGTATGAAGCAAAGCTTTCAAATGATTTAAGTATTTAATGCTCCTTCTTTAACTAGCTAATTAGTTTATTGCATTTTAATAAATGTTTTCATTACCAAACTCTCACTATAAACTAAAGAGAGAACTAAAATATCTTGCATTTGATAAACAAGAGCATCCTCTTGTTTTGTCTCAAACTTTATATTTTGTCATACATGTTTATTTATTTATTTAATTTTTTAACCCCACCTTTCTCCTTGGAAAAGGACCCAAGGCAGCTGATACCATTAAAGGAAAATATTTAAAGCTGAAAACAGCAAGTATACAAATGCTAACAAGAATCAAACGAATGCTATACTAAAACATGGTAAACCAAAACAACACCAAAAACACATTCAAAGCAGTAGGGCACAACCATCCATTTTAAAACCCCACTCAGGAAGCAAATCATTAAGGGAAAGGTTTCCTAAAGAGAGGAAGAGAAAGGTCTTCAGCCTCCAAAAAGCTTACACAAGAAACAAAGATAGCAATAGATACAGAAACCATAAGCATGTATGACCACCAAGCAAGACTAAGCACCAAGGAAGAACAAGAATTCTGGTATTACCAATGGCCAAATTAATCAAGGAGAAGTCTTCGTCAGCAGATAGCAAACCCAGTAGACTACACTGGCAAGCAAATGCCACAGACGGATGACTCCCATTTCATAACTATCCACTTAACAGGTAGCATTAAATGGAGTAGGTGTCATCAGACAGTAATACAGCACACACAGAGTGAAAGGTAATTTTCAAACTTTCATTTTTCATTCCCTGCTATAGAACAAAAGCCTCAGGTCTAAAATGGCCTCAGATGAAATTTGTGCTTTAAACTGCAGGTTCTTTGACTCCACCACAAACTGGCCACCACTGAACAGTTACAACCACACACGGAACATATGAACCTACCAGATGGCTTTGGACTGCAACTCCCATGATCCCTCACCATCCCATGTGTTGATTAGGGCTGCTGGCAGTCTGAGTCCACATGCCATCTTCTTAGTTCTGCTTTCACAGATCATCTACTAATTACAAAGAGCTTGGAAATGTGGCTTTTTCGGACTGCGGGTCTCAAAAGCTCCCCTGGATCCTGGCTATGTAGAATGGGGGATTCTGGGAGTCTCAACTCTAAAATGTGGCACGGTTTTCATAGCCATGTGTTTTACTGCACCTAGAAACAGCATGACAATGAGAAGACAGAATGTGAGCCTGAAGATGCGTGAAAGTCGTGGACCTTACCTATGGATGTTGCTTTCCAGCTTTTTCACCTTCAGCTCATCCTCTTCTGCCTGCCTCTTCCTGGATTCTTCTTCTGCTGGAGAGCTAGCAGGGATGCCTTGTAGCAACCATTTTTCACGAAGTGCTTTTGACTAGGTGGAAGATAAGAGCGAAGAGAAAGAAGCACATTTAGAGAGACATCGAGGGGAATTCTGCTCTTCAATATTTCATAGCCCTCTTGAAGACAATGATTAGCACTTTCAGTACTGCACACATTCATTCTGCTGGATAAATCCCTTAAAGACTCATCCAGATCTCCATATGATCAGGGTTTCACATCTAATCTGTGTAACGCACAGGTCATTGATTTGTTAGCCAAAGTAATTTCAATCCGTGGCTTGTATAATCCAAGTGATGAAGTCAATCAACCACAAGAGGGTTGAAATTCTAAACCAGGTTCAGGACGTTGGAGTCAGATGTTTTGAATATAACAATCAGCAATTCACTCACTCCCCTCCAAAAATGCAGTCATGCAGAGAGGCCAGGCTTTCCAAAGGAGTATGGTTAGAAGCAAAGGAAGAAGGCGGCTTCTGGTATTCATCAAAACCCTTTGCGGCAGAGGGAATTGTTGTTATGAAGAGGTACCTGCTAAAATTCTCTCCTGTGAATGATAACTAAAGAAACAAGAATACAGTCTTTCTCTGAATCTGGCTGTCCTCTCTAAAACAGTTATATATCTTGAGTATAACACAGCTGGGGAGCCACAGTAGCATGATGGAGAATAGTAGGGTCATGGATGCCTATACTTGAAATCTTGCTAAGGGACAAACAACATGCAACAATGCCAGCAACATTGGTTTTAAATTATACAGTAGTTTTGTATGTGCACTGCCTATTTTTAACAAAAAAAAACATGCATGTGCATCAGAAAAGATGAATCTCAATCTCTTATCATTGGCTATGCTGGGTAGGGCAAAGAGGAATTGCAATCCAGCAACATCTGGTAGGCCACAGTTACCCATCTGCCCTGATTCATGTATTAAATTATCAGGAATAACTTGCTGCAACTCTCAGGGCCAGATGTGCTCTGCTCTATCTCCTGCTCCACGCATGGGACATTAATGAAAGTTCTTGGTTTAGAACAAATTACAATTTGCCATTAGATTAGAGCTCAAAGAACTACAACTTATTCTAAGGTTTGCAAACAAGTTAGCATATGAAGATACAGTTTGAACGCAGTTTGAACCTAGTTTGTTTAAACAAGCTTTCCTCAGAAACAGGAAAAGGAATGGAGGCATAACTGAATTATGATTTGGATGAGCTACTCAACTTTAAGGAGAGGTCTTACCAGTTCCACTCTCCCAGTGAGTTTCCATGGCTGAGCACGGATTTCAACTGGTGGGATAGATCATTGTAAGTCAAAACATGTGTGGACGCCATAAACCTAACAGCACCAAAAATGATACATATAGCAGGCTACTCTGTCAGTGCAGATGTGCCCTTAAAGTCCAAAATCCATATCTCCAAAACATGCTTTTGGAAATCTTTGCTTGAAACCCACAGCCATGCTGTAACTCGTCTTCTGGAGCAATTTTTTCTTTTTATTTAATGGGGTAATCATTAGAAGGTTCTGATCAAAGGCTCTTGACACATAAATTAAATGTGCAGGAAGCATAAAAACTGCCATACTTCTAATATCTGCCCAGTACAACAAACCCTGGAACAGAAAGAAATTATGTTTTTAAGAAAGACAAAAAAAAAAAAAGTTCAAGAGGAAAAGGATAAATCCTTTTGTTCTTGACACGTTACATAACATGGACAGCCAGAAAAATAACTGAAACAATCAGCAAGGAAACAGGTACTGCCAGAGGAACAACTGTCCATCTGGACACGCTCTTACTCATGATTAGAGCAGACCTACAGAAGATATACTGAAATCAACTGGACATAATTTACAGTGGGTTAGATTTAGACCTACTTCTGCTTAGACTACAACAGCTGAAATAAACAGGTCTTACGTTAGTCATGGCAATGTAGACTCATTTATTTCAGTGAGTCTAATCTACACACAATTAAGTTTACATCCAAACTTATGGAATCAGACTAAAACTTGGAAATAAGTAAAGATAAAACTGATTAATCAAAATTATTTATTTTGTTTTTCCATGTACAATGCGTTGTTGTTTAGTCGTTTAGTCGTGTCCGACTCTTTGTGACCCCATGGACCAGAGTATGCCAGGCCCTCCTGTCTTCCACTGCCTCCCGGAGTTGGGTCAAATTCATGTTGGTCGCTTCAATGACACTGTCCAACCATCTCGTCCTCTGTCATCCTCTATTATTATTGATAAGCACACTGTGTCACACATTTAAAACAAAATTTAGAGGTGCCCTATACTCAACTCGTTACAGATTTCCAATAAGACTGGTCCATTTTTCTTAGGGAGCATCTCATATATTCTACCCATCATTAACCAAACAAAATGATAAGTTCATCCATTAAAAAACCAAACTCCTTGAGCTTTCCCACATAATTAATGTACATAGGTTGTATGTACCACCAACATACTTTCTCTTAAGATTGCTCTTCTGTTGTGGGACTATTGTACTATACTCAGCGTGAAGTATTCTGCTACTGGAAATCTGACTCTTTATCTTTACCAACATAGATTTCAATATTCTTCTTTATCACATATTATTTCAAAAGTCAGTACTTATTTCTTCTCCCAAATCATACTCCCATGATGTTTTAAGAAAACCTTGTTGCTCCTCTGCCTCAAATAATATTTTATAAATTTTACTTATTGTCACTTTCATCACCTTATTTTCATCCACACTCTCTTTTTGCAATACTATTTCCTCAAATTTCATAAATTCTTAACATTTGCTATTTCTTTTTACCCCATCTTTTATATATTTCTCTACTTGGATAAGACTGAGCCAAGATATTCTCTCCTTTCTTCTTTTATTTGGCTTTTATTCCTGCTTTTCCTAAAAAAACCTTTTATCCTAAAAACTTATTTCTTTCTTAGTATTTTGTTTAAACTTTTCTGTGATTTTTTTTTCCAATTCTACCATCAGATGCAATGGAGAAACTTAGGTCATCTTATGTCAAAAGAAGAATTTTTTTAAAAAAATTCTCCCCCTAGTGGTAGAGTATGGATTAACCGGATTTGCATTACTTCCTACAGGAACTAATGCCTCTACCTATGAACAGCACCTCGACATGCGAATGAAAAACAGCAGGTACGGATTAAATGGTTTTCAATGCATTCTTATGGAAAAGTTTGCCTAGACTTATGAACTTTTCGATGTATGAACGCCATTCCAATACGGATTAAGTTTGTAAGTCAAGGTACCACTGTATCACTGTTTTGCCAATGGTTCCAGGGGGGGGGGGGGAGTACATTTTGTATAATTTATTGTTTTATGTTATGAGTGTATTTTGGGTTTGTATATTTTTGTTTTACGTTGAAAGAAAGAAAAAAAGACTCAAATAGTCAGAAATGTTGTTGTACACCTTGGTTCAATAATTAATCCAAATGAAGTCTGCAGCCAAGAAAACAGAAGACTTAAGACTAGAAAGGGCAACAATGAAGGAATTAGAAAAGAAGTACAACAGCAGAGTTTATATACAAGTTCCCTGCTATTTTGCAAGCATTGCCTGAAGGCCTAGAATACAGGATGATCTCATGAGGAAAAGAAGTGGTCATGATTCTGTAGAAAGAATAATTCCAGCATATGTAGCATGTCATGCATTAATGCTTTCTAAAACTGTCTCTCCCACACAATTCTTAAAAGGAATGGTTAAAGGTGCAGCCACCCTATTTGAACAGCTAAGTGACAACCCAATTCTCCATGGTGATCAAAGCCAAAATAACTGCTATGTAAATAACATGGCAAAGTACTGGCTTAATCATGGGGATTCAAAACAGTTGCCCATGGAAAGGAATTCTAAATACAAACAAGATATTAAGAAAGTCCATGCCTAGAAGAGAAAAAGTTCTAAGTAACATGAGCATCTAAATGATTCTGGGATACCAAGTATAGTAATGGGTAAAATAGAAGATCTGAATTTGAATGTCCACTTGGCCATGGAATTTTCTGAGGGAGGTAAGTGATAAAATCACTCCGGTAGGAATCAATTTTGGAAGGGTAATGGGACTTTATGAATGTAGGAAAATTGATTATACAGTGATACCTCGACACAAACGGCTCCACTTGCGAACGATTCGAGTTACGAACGGCTCCGTTCAGAAAAAGTTGCTTCTACTTGCGAATGGAGCCTCGACTTAGCGGGAAAAAAAAAGAAACCCAGAAAAAAACCTTTTCTGCCCTTTTTTTGACCTAAGTTCATCTTAGGTCAAAAGAAGAATTTTTTTAAAAAAAAATTCTCCCCCTAGTGGTAGAGTATGGATTAACCGGATTTGCATTAGTTCCTACAGGAACTAATGCCTCTACCTATGAACAGCACCTCGACATACAAATGAAAAACAGCAGGTACAGATTAAATGGTTTTCAATGCATTCTTATGGAAAAGTTTGCCTCGACTTACGAACTTTTCGATGTATGAACGCCATTCCAATACGGATTAAGTTTGTAAGTCAAGGTACCACTGTATTGCCAATGGTTCCTGTGTGGGGGGGTACATTTTGTATAATTTATTGTTTTATGTTATGAGTGTATTTTGGGTTTGTATGTTTTTGTTTTACGTTGAAAGAAAGAAAAAAAGACTCAAATAGTCAGAAATGTTGTTGTACACCTTGGTTCAATAATTAATCCAAATGAAGTCTGCAGCCAAGAAAACAGAAGACTTAAGACTATGCTTTTGATTATTGTGGCAAATGTTACATGAAATCAGTCACTTATCAAATATTGTCTGGGATGTCATTAGAAGATAGTGACGTTATACATGCCCACTGAAATGAAAAAACTGAAATAGTCAGAAATGTTGTTGTATACCTTGGTTCAACAATTAATCCAAACAAAGTCTGCAGCCAAGAAAACAGAAGACTTAAGACTAGAAAGGGCAACAATGAAGGAATTAGAAAAGAAGTACAACAGCAGAGTTTATATACAAGTTCCCTGCTATTTTGCAAGCACTGCCTGAAGGTCTAGTACAGGATGATCTCATGAGGAAGAGAAGTGGTCATGG